AAGGAACCCATAATTTAGCGCATCTGACACAACGCTCACTTGGTGAAAAACAATGCTACTTTTTCCAATGAAGTGCACGGGGAATCTAAATTAAGTGAGAAGGGCATTCTCCCGTGATGAACGAGATCGATGCCTTGCTCCTTGCATTAAACGCTGCCAAGTCACACCAGTTCTCACCAGGCTCCACTGGCTCCCTATCGCCCGCATGTCCTCTGGTGCCCCCCGTTTCACCATCGGCATCCACGCCCCGAAACTCTGGCACACTCTAAACCTCCATCTTGCCCCTTCCTTCCCCATCTTCAGGTCGCACCTGAAGACCTTCCCTCTTTTCTTCCAATAACCCCTCCACTTCACTCCTTTCCTCTACGCTTTCAAATCCCATCTGAACGTCCAGCTCTTTGGACTGCGCCTTCAGCCACCCTTCCGCCTACCCTCTCCTCTCCTCTTGTTCCAAGTCTTTGCAAAGCCACGAATCGTGTCCCCATACGCGATAGGCACTGCACAAGAGCAAATTGCTGCTGTTGCACTTGCCCCGCAATCAGAAACGGTTATTACACTTGGCAGCAACTGCCCTGGAAGCACTTTTGAGACTTTTAGCATCAAAGGCACTGCAGCAAATTGCAAGGATTAACACGGGTCCAGTATTTTTTTTATTACAAATAGCACAATAATTTGAACTAGAGGTATGAATCATTTGTACACGAGGTCCAGTGTAGCAGAAATCCTGCCCCAAGGCCATCATTGGCATCTGTAAAAATAGCACAGGTTTGCCAAGTGCCAAGATATTCAATTTGGGCGTTAGAAACATGACCCATTTTGATGTTCAGTCACTCCTGGGAATAAACTGTAGTGCAAAATGTGCAAGTGGTTGTGTGATCTGTCACCCGTGCTGAGCGTAATCACTGCCAGCGTTTCTCTGACGGCGATGTCTCTACGGGCAGATTTGGTGATGGTTTGATCGTTCTCTGGCCGCAGAACTGAACAGGGGCAGCTGTCAACGCTATGCAGTCAGGCTGTGCGGAGCCTCGGCCGCGGAATACACACGTCACTACACTTTACAGTGTGCCCTGTGAAACACTTGAGACGTCTCGGAGGCGTGATAAGGCGCTGTATCAAATGCAAGGGTGACTGTGAATTATTCTAACTCGACGCCGTGTTATCTTGTAAGCTCTCTGCCTCATTCCCTTCTCCTCGCCTGCTCCTGGTCAGACTTCAGATCGCAGCTGACGACCTTCCTCTTCGACCGTGCCTACGGTCACACCTCTCCCCCTCTCGGTGTCGAGTCCTGCCAAGGTTAAATTTAAACGCGCCGGGACACTGCCCTGCGAGAAGGACGCAGCGTAAATGTACGTCGTTGTAACTCCCAGCTTCAACAAGGCTCACTGATTGAACGTGGAGCTTTGAAAGGCCGCAACTATCCAACCTGGATATGATTGATTTACTGAGTGATTTAGTTTTGTTAATACAAGTGCAAGTTGTTTGTCTCTGTCGCTCTTGTGCTCTCTCTCTCTCTCCTCTCTCTCTCTCTCTCTCTCTAATTTTAGCCTCCAGATGAGAACACTTGAAGACTGCAGATGCAAATCCAGTTCACCGCACACGGGTCGATCACATTTACTGTGCAGTTTTTCGTCAGAAAGAAAGGTGGATGTTATATGAACAAATGCTGGAATAAACGTTACATTCGCCAAACACTGGTTACTGTAAAACTCTTAGCCTCCCTCTCCCCCCACACCCCCCTCCTCCCTCCCTCCCTCCCTCCCTCCCCATCACCCGCTGGAAAGCACAGCCCAACAGCAAACACAGGAAGAACCACAAAGTCACTTGGTCTGGAGGCAGTTCTGGTCTGCTGCCATCCGAGAGGTCACCTGTGTCGCGTGCGCACTCAGTTAACCTTTCCGTGGCCGAGAGGCACTTCAAGAACATTCAAGAATGAGTTCCAGAATCCACAACAAGTTGCAAACCCCCCACCCACGGCAACACAGTTCTCGAGCAAGCCACCCCTTACAATCCACACCCTGGCTTGACATTGCCGTTGAGTTAACCCCGAGCAATCTGATTTCACAACAACAGCAGCAGCAGCAGCAGCAACAACAAATCGCATCTGTACAGCGCCTTTCACGTCTGGAGGACGTCCCAAAGTCCTGGAGAGTCAGGGGTTTGGACCCCAAGCTGTGGGTTGGGATCAGGAGGGCGGGGAGGGAGGGTGTGGGGGGGGGGGGAATAGGAGGGTGACCGAAAGCGCGGGCGAAGAGGAAGGTCTTGAGATGGGCTCTGATGGGACACCCGTCCACTTCGACCGAAGGACTTTGATCGGGTACAGACACGGGAAGAGAAAGGACACGCATGCAACTCGAGACTCCTGTGGGTACAACAGGCTCCCGTAAACGGAACCCAATCCGATTCACAGCAAAACGGACAACGTGTTTACACGGGGCATCGCGACCGGCTTGAGGAGCACCATTAGTAAAACGGCAGCAAAACAAAAAGTTACGCACAGGTTAGTCGGGAGTTAGTGAGTTACCACTACCTCCTACATACAGCCAAATTAAGACTAAGCGGTGTGGACTAAACATGAGCTGTATCTGCATCAAAACATAGTGTGGTTTCTGAAAATAAGACAAAAAGCCACCTGAGTAACAAAACAAGCCTTGAGGAGAGACAGTCAGATGCAGCCTTTAGTTGCGTAGAATAATAGGTGGAGCAAAAGGGCCGGGGGTGGGGTTTGTGGGGGGGGTGGGGGGAAAGAGGAAGAAAAAGTGGGAGCTGTGGATTTGGCCAGTGAACTCATCAAGACAATCCCTCCCTCCTTCCCTCCGCTATTTAAAGAGTGTGACCCACTTTCAAGGCCTAAAGCTCTAGTCATGGACCTACAATTGCGGGTTCATAACAATAACGATAACCACAATCCTCGCATTTGACATAGCGCCTTATCACGTCTTCTGAGACGTCTCAAAGCGCTTCTCTGTCAAGTGAACTGACTGTATATGTTGCCATTGTACTCTCTGCAAAAACCTACGATTTGCAGAGAGCGGTGGAAAAGCATTTTAAAGTCCAGTCCCAATTTGGAAGCCCGATTTCCCAGATGGCTTTCAAAAAAAAAAGGGCTACCAAATTGAGAGCGAATTTGGAATCTTTTTGTCCTCTTTTTGAACCCCCCCCCCGCCCCCGCCCCCCCTCCCTCCACAATTCTGCGTGACTTGATCTTCCAGGTTAAGTCTAGGCAGCCTTTTGGGGCCTTGAGTTGAGTTGGGATGTTGCTGGGCACCAATCTGCAGGAGCTGTGCCAACTGGCATAGCAATTGGCACCCACGGTCAGTGATTATTAACAAGTCAGCTTGGCTCTGTTAACACAAGCTCTTTCTAAACTGGGCTAACAAGGTGCCGTGGATGGTAGCTGGAGTTTGTCATCCAATTATAATGAACAAATTTATGCCAATATTAATGTGTTGCTGCTACTGTAACCCAAACATCCCCTGATCCCCTGTCCAGATGTTCCCTCCGTCAATGAATGAAAGTCGGGGCTATTCGCTCGTGACATCTGCTCTCTGTGAACTGCCTCCACTGTGCATATTTACATAGATTTAAATAGACTGGAAGCAGGCCATGCTGGTGTTGATGCTCTGCACGCACTCCTTACTCCGTCCCGCACTCTTCTATTCCCCTTCTCCCTCTTGTGAACAACTAGCCTGATCTACCCTGTGGAGTCCTGTAGCTCAGTGGTTAGAGCACTCGCCTCACAGGCAAGAGACTCGGGTTCGACTCCCGGCAGGTCAGGCTGAAACCTTGGGCAAGGTTTCCTTACGCCACACGCCTGATAATAATCCCTCAAGAAAAAAAACCCGATAAGAAATTGGTCGCTTCAGTCCACGACTGTTTGTGGGACGCTGCTGTGGGCAATTGGCTGCCGCATTGCACCCAGAAAATATACAGTCAATTCACTTGATAGTATATTCTGTGAAGCGCTTTGAGACGTCATCGAAGATGTGATAAGGCGCTGTATCAAATGCAAGGATTATTATTATTAATATCATCCTAAAGGCATCTATCTGATTCAACCACCACTTTGGGTAGCGAGTTCCACATTCACTACCCTCTGTGCAAAGGAGTTCCTCCTAAATTCTCATTTAGATCCCCTTGTCGCTATCTTACACTTGTAACGGGGAGAAACAGCTTATTTATACTAACTTCATCAAACCCTTTTACAATTGTAAGGCACGTCTGTTAGATGTCACTCGCTCTGTCTTCGTTTCCTTCGTCAGCTCGGCGTCTTGACGCAAGCGGAAATCCAAGCCCCAATTGTGCCACGTTCTTCAAGTCAGCCTTACGTTGGGAGCCATTTTATCCCGCAATTCTTTTTAAAAGAAACCCTCCAGATTTAAAACTGAATCGAAGAACGTTTTCATACTCGTTTCTTTTGTGATCTTGAATTTCTTTCTTTCAACGCAAACTGTCTTCCAGGGTAAGTCTCAAAAACTCCTTGCAAGCAATCAATTGTTGAGGCCCAACACATAGAGGACTTCCTTTTTTTCCCCCCTGAACCACTGAAGCCCATTGAGACGATTTTGGCGCTACACTGAATCCGAGGATTCTCATCGAATTCTTTTAAAACAAAAGAAAGACGACTCTGATTCACCAATTTGCCAAATTCTGTTTGTTCTGAAATGCTAATTAAGAAATTAAGAGTAAGATCTCGGCTTGTGTGGCATTTCTCCCCCATTTCTCCCCCTCTCTCTCTCTCTCTTTCCCTTTAGCTTTACAGTTGTAGAAGACGGGTCCTCACTTCTAGATGGTTTGGGAATATCATCTGGTTGGGTTTTGATGGACAAGAGGAATTGTCAAACCGGTGTGAAACCATGGAAGATCCCCACACTGACTCTGACAGGTTGGGAGAGGGCAACAAGGGAAACCTTTCGGTTGCATCTGAGTGCGTCCCGGACCCTCGGGCTTGCCTTGCCACGAGACAGAGTGGCACGTAAAATAAACATCAAGTTTTTACCAACCGTGAGCTGATGGTTCTGTCGTCAGCGATGTGGCTACACACAGGGAACAGATGATTTGAGGAAAGGAAGAAACAGTAGGAGCGGCATGCAGAGGGATGGGAGAAATGGAATAGAAACGTAAACAAGCATTCAAGAAATTCCATGACAACAAGCAACAATTTGCGACCGTTAAAAAACTTCCGGCAAGCTTGTAACATTTTGCTTTTTAAACGAAAGGAGAAAAAAAATAAAAAACCTCGAGCTGTAAATTAAAATAAATTAAATTAAATTAAATTAAATAAAATCAAATCAAAGCCAGCAGGTTCATTCGTTCCAGTGTTGTTTTTTTTCCCCCTAAAAGACCCAGTCGCTGTGGTCATCCAGGCAACGATGGTTAACAATGGGTCACAGTGACTGCATTTACGAACAACTGATTGGCACAAATGTAGGATTAAATCATCTTCTCCCTTAGAGTTCAGGTTACAATGCAGTTTTTTTTCTCCCTCATCCGAGAGAAATCCACGTGATGTGCAGGGACCATTTCACCCCCTCATGTCTGTCGCCTGACACTGCATTTCATTAGATGGGAGTTAAATCGCACGAAAGCCACTGACACACAATTAAGAGGGTATTTTCAGTGGTCGGCGAGATGAGTGGATTTGCCCTCTGTGCTTCTACGTGAAACGTATTTGATTTAACAGAAAGGGACCTTTGCCACATTTTCACCCGACGTTGCAGACTTAGGGTTCCTATTTGGCAAAATCGGAACAATTTAGGTTTTCGCGCAAATTATCGGCGCGATTTGGACGGAAATTTCAGAGAGGGAGGAGGAAAATTGGTGTGTGCAAGTGGGTGCGTGTGTGTCTGTGCGTGCGTGTGTGTGTGTGTACATGGGTGTGGTCTGTCGAGAGGGGTAAAGGGAAGAAACTGCCTAGTTTATGTTGCTTTCTTGCTCTGGTGAGTTGCTGGGTTCTCATATCAATTGCTCACAGGAAAAATGGCTAATCCTTCCTCTCTCCCACAGGAGCTAACATCATAGGGCGGAAGGGAGGCCATTCGGCCCAGCAATAGGGCACATTCACTCCCACATTTCTGACCTGCCTCGGACTATACGGTGGATTGACTGTGAGTTTTGTGGGCGGAACATGGCAGCCAATTGCACACAGCAGTGATGCACACATACAGCCATGGATTGAGCGGAGCAAATTTTTGTTTGGAGGGATTATTAGCCTCGGAGAGCGATCTGTCAATCGACTAACAACTGATATAACTATAGACTCGTCACCCCATGTAGCACGGTTCAATATAACGATTTGGGGTTTCCTGATGGCATTTTATGTAACAAATTGGCACAATTCATCACATTAAGTGCGTGCCTGGTTTATTCCAGGACTATATCAATGAAATAGGATTATTTGCGGCAGACTTAGGTATGCCTCAGTGCGGAAAAAAATCTTCCCAAAGTGTTAATTAGTTCTCCTTTGACATGAATCTATTTGTTTTTTTTTCCAGCAAATTAGATTTGCAGAATGTATTTGACCGAGTTTAGTTTAATGACTATGGGAAGAAATGGATCTGAAAACACAAATGAAATCCGAACCACCTAAGTATGAGCCATGTTCGCAAGTGTCTGTCTGTTTCAGTTTGTTTTTTTTTTGGGGGGGGGGGGGGAAGAGAACCGGGTGTCTGACATTTACGGAAACCCATTACCGTGTTTAAGATGACCCAAATCAGACTGAGAATTTCACCTATTTACACCACCCGCACATGGAAATTCTGCTGCGTAATGGAATGAAAAATGCTCTCCTTTCTGGAGGGACGCGGCCCGCTTACCTAATTCCAGAGAGTATTAGGCGCAGGTTAGCAAGAGCCAAACGGTTGGAGGAGGAGGGAGGGAGGTGTAGGGGGGTGGGGGGTGAGCAGAGGTAGCAGCTAAAACCGTAAAGGTGGAGAGAAAATGAAACTGTGGAGATTTAAGTGGATTCATTTTCCGCACCTCACCTGCAGTTTGAGCAATTGGATTGGCCACCCGAGCCTTTAAAGTAGATTTCATTAAACTGTTGCCAAGCATCATTAATCGCGGAACTTAATTAGCGGCTTTTAAAAGCAACGACTCGCGAGGCTGCATTTTAGTTCCTTCTTAAAGAGTTCTTTAGTTTTAAAAAAAAATAGGAGAAAGAGCGAAGGAAGGGGTCAGACGCCGGCAAAGGATCAGTCATCTGTTCTCGGAGCGACACCAAGAACCGGTGCTATTCACCTCTCCGTCCCTTGCACAAGTAATCAACTCCTTTGCGCGATCAGTTTCTAAGCCCCACGCTGGCAGTTAGTGGGCGGAACTTGGGTGCGTCTGCGCTCTGGGACCAAATCTGTGACTTGCGGCATGAAAGTGTGCAACAGGCATTTCAGATCACTCTCACTTTACTTTTCCACAGAGCTGGAAGAACGCACTGAGCTTACCCAACACGCATGGATTTGTCCTGGAAGGACCACCGGGCTGAAACCCAGCTGATAACTGGAAACCATTGGCTTTTTTTAGGCGCTGTGTCCTTCAGCACTAAAACTGTGCTTAACAGGCCCTACGATCCCTGAAGCCTCTTGTTTGATAAAGTGACCCCCCCCACACCCCACCACACCCCACCCCACAGGTCAGTGTCAAATCATTCTTCCAGCCCTGCTTGGTCTACGACACAAGAGGTCAGTCAGTCAGTCAACTCGCAACAGAAGTGAAACGTGCAGGTTCAAGTCTCCCCATTCTCCCAACCTCCGTTACCTCTCTCCATGCCACATGCACCATCTGCCATCAGGACTCTGCCAACGGAACTTGGGAGCCACGGTCAAGGAGGCTCGAGAGAGAGAGAGAGAGAGAGAGAGAGAGACAGAGAGAGAGAGAGCGACCAACAACTCCCTCTCATTGGGGAGACAGAACTTACCTTCCACTCAGTCTGTCTCTCTCTGTTTCCTTCCCTCTCCAACTTCTCGCCCCAAATCCCAACCCCACAACCCCGACCACTCATTTCATCGGGACCAGATTAGAAGGGCTAACTTAGGCCAACCCCCACTCCAAACGGCTGAAGTTCCAAATCCCATTGTTTTCTGCCCCCCCAAAACTTTTTTCCCGTTCATCTTTTACTTCCCTTCTGACCCCGGGCACGATGGAATGACCACACGGTTATTTGTTGATTTTGCGTGCACCAGAGCACGTGCCTGTTTGTGTGTGTGTGTGTGTGCGGTCCGTCGGAGGCAAGTTCCCGCTGGTGCAAGACTGCTCTGACCGTAATAATAGTTTTCGAAGGACGCAAACACACACACACACACACACATACACATCGCGGCAATCTTTAAAACGCCAATGTAAAATTCCCCCGGTCGCAACATTCTGAGTCGTAATGGGGAAGGTGAAAAGGATGAGCAAGTAGAGGAACATCGCACTGGAACTCGCGGACGACACACAAACAAGCCAGGTCTGGGATTTGAAATGGGACACAGGTTTTCAACGCAGAAGGGCCAGATGAATGCAACGATGCTGTGATTATCCATCAGCCATCTACGCCGAGGATTTCTACAGATGTAGCCCTACAGCTCTAACGAAAAGCATCGGATAAAAGGCAGCAATTTGTGTCAAGCAAGAGAGGCCATTTGATGAAATCAAACAGACACCACCCTCCCCGGTGTTTTTACCAACAAGAATTCAGATCGATCCGTCTGTGTGATCTGCACAGATTCAAAAACGGCAACTCTCTTTTCCAGGGAAGAGAGACGTTGCTGGAAACCAGGGACACCAGGGTTTGAGCATTCAAATCAGTGGCCCTTCGCAGATGGACTATCGAGAGCTTCAGGATGCAATTACCTGGGCCGACATTTTCATTGGAATGGGAAACCGCTGTTAAAAAGTAATCTCATCACCGAGGGAGAGAGAGAGAGGTTCCCGACAGCTAATGCTAATCCAGTTTGATTGCCTGGACCATTATTATCACCTCAGGTTTGTCAGCACTGTTTGTTGAAGGGCAGGAGGAGCGATAATAATAATACTAAGGATATGAACCCTAGCTTCTGTTCCTCATTATTTTATTGCTGCGATATCTCTCGTCCTTTTTCTCCCACCCCCCAAAAAAATAACTGCAAATGTAAAGGACGAGAGGCCGACCCTAATTCTTTTGTTGGCGTTGAATTCATCAGATTATGAATTGAATTTGTGAGATCTCGCCCAATCCCAACTCATTACTGCCTTCCCAGGACTGAGTCTTAAGCTTTAATTCTTTTTTTAATACATTATATATACGAAAGAAATCAGATGAGGCCTGTTGCCTTCTCGTTTCGTTTATTTGAGGATATAATTCGAGGAGTACTTAGTGGACTTTCTGATTGGCAGCCAGTCCTAGAGTGGAGCCAAGGCCAAATGTAAATCACAAGGAGAGCAACTCATTTACTGATCAGCTCAATGTCAGCCAATTTCTTATTTCTCATCTCCGTGGTGATGAGAAATAAGAACATAAGAACTTGCTGGATAAAGGAAGACTGAGGTCCATCCAGTTCACCTTCCACCATCCTGGCAGTTGCTTGCTCCTATCACGGCCTAAACTATCTAATATGGATATTATTTCCTAACAGAAAAGGATCCAATTTTGTTCTTGAAAGAAACAACACTTCTGTTTGGATGATGTCCTAATTCTCTATCTTTTTATTGGACATGGAACTGGAGTAATTTGCCTTGAATGTGCTGCCCCCGAACTATCAGCTGAACTGTACATACATGAGGGAAAGGGGATAGAAGTGTATGGGAGGGAGTAGGGAATGGATTGAGGTTCCAACACAGACTAGTTGGGCTGAATGGCCTGTTTCTGTACTGTACAGTCCATGTAGATATATGGAAATAAATAGCGAATTGAGTTTTATTTTAAATTTTGTTTTTTTTAAGGGATCATTACCCCCGGAAAGCGATCCGTCAATCGACTCACAACCAGATTCCTAGTTACCGCTAGGCAAACAGAGGCGTGTGGAGCAAGGAAACTTGCCTAAGGTTTCGCCCGGGAATTGAACCTGAGCCCTCTGCCATGCGAGGAGAGTGCTCTAATCACTAAGCTACACGACTCCACAAGTGACTTTATCTGCGCTGCTCGGAATAAACTCTTGTAACTTTGCCAAATACAATATGTTTTTTTGCGATTTGTTTTATATGTAGAAAAAACGGAAAAAAAGGCTCTTCGGGAAGCGAGTTCGAAATTAATTAGCACCGTCGGGAATCTTTGCAAATCGGACGCACTCCTGGCGCAGGCAAAGGGCAAACCGTGGTGACAGATAGGCAGGCGAGCAGATTCATGGCAAGAGCCCTCACTGCAATGGATTCGCGAATCAAAGCTTTAACGTACAATCTTAAGGTTCTTGCCATTCGCTCCGTACGTGTACACACAGCGGGACGCGATTTAGCAGTCATCTACTAATGGCCACTAATTAAGCAATACCCTTGGGATAAAGAACGTTCTAAAAGGTCATTAACCTCTTCTTAAAAATGTTATTCTTTTAATGAAAGCTTTCCGCAAACCTCTTCTCTCCCCTCTCCCCTTTTCCCCCCCCCCATCCCCACCTTCTCCAGGTATAAATAAGTGGCAAAGCTATAGCTTTTGAGAATGCTGCAAAAGGGGTAAAACTGCCTTCACGTGAGCTTTCCAAATCCCAGCTCAACGCTGCCTTTCCTGAGGGCAGCGTCTTAAAACTTTCGAGTTATGGGTCCTCGGGGGGATTGTCGGGGATTGGAACCCGAGGGAAAAATTGCGGCTTCGGATCAAATTTAAAACGGGCCACGCACGGCCATCTGGGCTGTGCAGCCTCGTCTATGTTTGGCTTCGTTTGGGGGAATTTGAGGCCGGATAATGTTTTTCTATCGTGGACAAAAATAACAACTCCCATCCCTTTTCAAATAGTGCCGTGGGAATCTTTTAACGTCCACCTGCGATACTGTCTCCCGAGATATTATTTAGTCACAGAAATCTGTCTAATTTGTTCTGGAATGAATCGACACCTTCTGTCTCCCTCGTGTCTCCCTGGGCGGCCCCTTTCCGTCCGTTTCCTACTCGCTCGCTGAAGCAGGGTTTCCCCAGATTGGCTCTGAATTTGACCGCCTTTCAATCGCAGGCCGGGAATTTGCTCCCTGAAGCTCTCGTGAGCGGCGGCACGCCTCGCCGGGAGTCGCAAGCTGGACCCGAACTGCTGCCGATATCCGAAGAGCGCGTAGAAAACGAAACCGAGGGTTAAGAGTTTAAGGGCGAGAGAGAGAGAGAGTGAGAGAGAGAGAGAGAGAGAGAAAGAGGAGGAAAAAAAAACCAACATAAAGAATGGCGTGTGGGTACCGTACCTGTGGTGATGGGTGGAATGGTGGTGGAGGTGGTGGCAGTTGTGGGAGGTGGGATAGTGGTGGGGGCATCTAGATGGTAGAAAGGAAAAATGAATAATAAAAAAAATACACACACACACACATAAATACACACACAAACACACACACAAATGACCTACACAATGAATTGTCGTCGTGTGAAACCCGCAAAACTGATTGAAAAAGGATGACTTCAGCTCTTTCTCTGTTCTTTGCACACAACAAAAAAAAGCAGCTCAAATTTCCGATTTCTTTTGCAATGGCTCGTTGCGATGGCTTTTTCAACAGCGGCTCACTCCCACCCACACCCCCCCACCCGTCCCCCATTTCCCCTCTACCCACCTCCCCCAAAAAAAAAATCGTGCAGCAACCCATTTTACTGAACACAATTTACGTTTATAAAGGCAGCGCCGTTCACGTGCGGAGGGCGTTTGAATCGCTTCGACATTGCTGGCTGGGTTCTTGCGTCAGCTGGTGGGAGTTGAACAAAAATAATAGCAATGCTTGCATTTGATTCAGCGCTTTAATCGCATCTTTGAGACGTCTCAAAGAGCTTCGCAGAACAGACTGTAAAGTGAACTGACTGTCTATTTTGCGGGCGAAACGGTGGCGGTGAGCTACGTTCGACACTCAAAGGACTACTTCAATGTGGACCTCCTAAGGGCTCGCTGCAAGTTTCTATCCCCAGATTGGAGCAAGCCTTGTGCTTTGCTGAATGCTGAAGTTAAGCATTGCCCTTCGCCTCTCTCAAGGCGCGTCTCGAAAGCCTTCTCTTCGACTGTGCCTTCAGCTGCCCTCCCACCCTCCCCGCTCCCAAACTCCGACCCTCCCGCCCGCCCGCCCCTGCCCCCGCCCAGCTCGAGTCCAATCCTCGTGAAAGGCGCTGTACAAATGTAAATTTGTATTGTGTTGTTTGTCGTTGTTATGGGGCCCTGTCTGGTGAGTCAGTCCACAGTTGAATCTCGATTTAGCTTCAAGAATCCTATTTTAGTGAGTGGCTCAATGTTACCAGAATATACTGGCGGGGATGAGACGCCGTTAGCTCGGAGATATTGCTGAAACGCAGTGCCCACAAATAATACCTGCTGGCAAAAAAAAGCTACCAGTGTAAGCTCTTATTAATGAAAATACTTATACAAGGGCTTTTCGGAAATACAATTTCTCTGCTGTAGATTACAATGAAGAATTCTTTATCTATTGTGTATTCGCTGGGGGTGGGGGGGGGGGGGGGGAATTCTCTGGGTTTTTTTTTAAGAAAAAGAAACCATTAAGTCAGAAAATAATTTCTATAGTCGGGCTGACACTTGGGTGAAGGGAAAATGATTTGAAAGCGCGTGCATTAGCTTGAAGGAAGCATTAAGCGTCTAGCTAGAATCTTAAATTGCGATCTCTTGCCCCATTGACACGTACAATTAAAGAACTAAATGGAAAATATTCCCTCCTCCCCTATATCATACTGTATTGCATCTCCACGGTGTTGGTTCTCTGCTGTGCGATCCTATTCTCTTTGCCAGTTACTGCAATGTATTCGTGTTCCCGCCTACTTTGCTGCAAAGGGTCTTCCGTCTCCTCCCACGAGTTTGCGATCGAATAACCACACTCGCAAGTGATGCAGCGCCTTTCACGTCTAAGCGTCTCACAGGATTATACACACCGTCGATATTTTAACCCAATTTACAATATATCCTGCGAAGCCTCTTTGAGATGACTCAACGACATGATACGGTGCTATATCAAATGCAAGGGTTATTATTCCTATTATTCTGGGGGGAGTTTGCAGTGACTGTGGATATTTTGTAGGCGAACCCGGCAGCCAATTTGACTCCCAAAGCCCCGCAAACAATCGCAAACAATAATAGTTCGGTCAGTCGATCCACGACTGCTTGTGGGGACGCTGCCGTGCGCAATTGGCTGCCGCGTTTCGCCCACAAAAATCTGCAGTTACTCCACTTTACAGCACGTTCTGCGAAGCGCTTTGCGACGCGAGATAAGGCGCTGTAACAAATGCAAGGATCATTATTGTTATTTATTAGAGCCTCTTCGCACGGTCGAATTTGCCCAATTATTTTCGAGTTTACCCCTTTCTGGTGTCAAACTCTTGGAAGAAAAAAAAAGGATTCGCCGTATCTCCCGCACAGTTTATTTTCGGTTCTGCGATCTGCTCCCAGGGTCAGCGCTGAATGGTTTGCTCACCCCCCGCTCTCCCCACCCCACCCCACCGCCACTCACATCACCACCACAAGCGCATCGCTGTGGGATTATCGATGAGAGCATTTTGTTGAAAAAGCCATCTTGACTGCCCACTTTATTCTAAGAGGGCAGGGGGACGGGAGGGGACGGGAGGGGAGAGGAGAGGAGGGGAGGGGAGGGGAAGAGAGCGGGAAAGAGGTAAGAAACAAAGGCCATCAATTCATCTGAATCCCTTTGCGACCGTTTTCGTGGAAAATAAAATGGAAATGGAAACATTCACGCAATATGAAAATGGAAATAGACAGTGGGGCGGTGTGTGTGGGGTGTGTGTGCGTGTGCGTGGGGGAGGGGGAGGGGGAGTGGGGTGGTGGTGGTGGGGGGGTGAGGCGGTTGGTGAGGTTCAGTGTGAAACAAACCCATAAGCCACTGGTTTGTCCGCTGGACAAGGTTCGAATTGTATTTTCACGCTGGCGCCGCTCTCAAGCACGTGAAAGGGTTCAAATGAATTGCGCGCCCCTCGCTCTGAGGCGCCGCCCGGCATGAAGGCCGCTGTACGATCGCAAGTCGTCGTCGCTGCTGTCGCTGCGTTCGTCTGCTGAAGCCGCGAGCAGCTCTACCCAACCCGTTAGCCGAGAGAACCAATGCGCCTTCGTCGCTCCCAGCTCCTCCGAGACGTCCTCCCGACGTGAAAGGCGCTGTGTGGACGTACATTGGGACTTGCGTGTAGATTGAGACACGGCTTTCGTGTGTCGCGCGCATCGACACGCCGGCAGGGTGGACGCCAGTTTACAGTCGGTCCGTTGCGAATGCGCACACGTGGGGTGTTCGGGGTGGAACGGGAGTTGCGAAAATCGCTCGCGACGTGCCAACGACAGAGCGAAAACCCACCCGGCCTCCGCAGCAGTGACGACGACAGCGACAACCTGCGCTTACACAGCGCTCTAGCGCCTCGGAATGCTTTGACGCGCGCGGAGAGAGTGGAATCGGGCTGCGAGCCTCAAGGAGATAAAACTTTGCGCGCGTTTTCGTTTTGAGCAACTTCAGATTGAACCTCACCAATCGCCCCCCACCCCACCCCCGACCCCCCCACCACCCCTTTGCGAAAAGCCCGGTGGAGGAGGTGAAAGCAGATGACGAGGAGAAATAAAACCGGGGGTGGGTGGGGTGGGGTGGGGGTGGGAATCGCATTCCGCAACAGGGATCGCAGCTGATGCAAGCGATTAATGATACTCTTCACCGTGTGCCCTCGTGCCAAATGCGAGGCTGTGTCTCCCAGCTCGACGGTGTCTTGTGGACAGTGTAACTAACACCTCTTCGTCTGATCTGTGTTTACTGTGAGGTGTTGGCGTAAATCGCCAGCTGGCACCAATCAGCCTAAATCTTTGTACGTGCACCAACGAAAGGTTAGAACAATTCGCAGCTGCAACGTCTCAAATGTTAACGGCTTCATTTTTACTGCAACCCAACTGGATTGTGCGGGACAATTAAGAGGGTGGAAGGAAGGATGGAGGGAGCTGTGTGTGGGGCGCGGAGGTGTATGTGGGGGGTGTGTGTGTCTGGGTGGGGTGTGTGTGTGTGTGTGGGCTGTGTGTCTGTGGGGTATGGGTGGGGGGGTGTGTGTGTGTGGGCTGTGTGTCTGTGGGGTATGGGTGGGGGTGTGTGTGGGTGGTGGGGTGTGTGTGTTGGGGATAGGTGTGTATATGGGGTGTGTGTAGGGGAAGGGGGTTGGTTTGTCAGTTGCTATTGATATACGCTGTTTATTCCAGGAGGGATTTTTGAGAATTTATTTTCGCGAACGTCAATCAGGATCCTTTTATATAGAGAGCAACAACTTCGAATCATTTGCTTTTGCTCTCGTGGGTGTGTGTGTGTGTGTGAGTGTGTATGTGTTGCGTCGTGTCTGTGTATTTGCTAAACAGGCAGTGTAGGGACAGACAGGCTTGGTGGAGTTATGGAGCCTGACAGTGCGAGGAAACTGCATTAAACATGCACACATTCGCGTCAAGGCAGTGCTGGCTTAATGATTATCTCTCTGGTGACGGTAATTCCGCTCGCTCAAGCTGTTAGAGCAGCAACTCTTCCCGCGTCTGTATGTACCCTCAACTCCATCAGTGGCCTTCGCTGTGCGATATTTGGGGAACAAAGTCGAACCCGGAGAACGGCCGAAACGAAAGGGATCCTGATTAAGGATATTAATGATAATACTTTGCGGCCGGTTTATAACCAGCGCGGACGGCCAAATCATTGCCAAACAGTGCGGAGGTGCATTTACACTCCACGCTCACACTACTTCCCACTGGAGGGTCAATGGCGAGAGAAGTCTGGTCAGTTTTAACCTGTGTGACAGTCTTACTCCTACATTGAGAGAACGTTTCCAGCAGAGGGGGTGGGTGGGGCGGGTGGTCCTTATGCATTGCACCGGGAACTCAATTTATTTTTTTTGCTCTCTAACTCATTATGATGAGTTCCTTTTTTAACCTGTTCGGGTAACAGATGGAACGACTATTTTCACATATATATATATTTGTATATATAATATAAATATACATATATATAGAGAGAGAGAGAGGTTGACAGGGGTTGCTGTTGGAATAGAGACTTGGCAATGAGCAACCTTTTGAGAGTAGCTGAATTCATTAAGGCACATTCCTTAAAAAAAAGGTCAGGTTAACAGTTCCACCGATGGGAAGACACTTCTGAGAGGTTAAACAAGTTGGAGCAGAAGAACACAATCCAATCAGTCCCGACAGAACAGTGCGTATCCCCAGTGAGCGTCAAACAGTCCCTCTGGCCTCTTTCCCACGGATTAACAACTCTTTTACTTCAAATTTGCTTCTTCTAGACTCCCTCTCCTCCCCCCCCCCCCCCCCCCCCCCATTCCCCATCCCCCAAACCCCCATTCTTTTCATTCACGGGAAGAGAAGGGATTCTCCAAAATTCTCCCAAGTCGAAATCGTCCTCCAAGCGGGTCTCCGAATTTATTGAAACCGTTTCAGTCTCCAGCAGTCGATTGGAGCCGAACAAATTGGTGCGCAATTTGGGAGCGAAACGCGGCAGACAACTGCGCCGCAGCGGTGTCCCACAAACAGTCGTGGATTGAAGTGACCGATTTATCATTCGTAGGAGTTTTTCAAGGTTTCATCGACTCAGCAGTGAGAAAATTTAGACAAGACATCCCGCTTCCCATTAGGAATACTCCCCCGCGCCCCCCCCCGCTCACTGTTACAGCACTATTCAGAAGAGAGCGTAACCAACTGCAGGTAAGTAAGCACAATTCCCCCCCCTCAAAAAAAAACCTTCCAGATTTTCTTTCATGCAGTTAATGAGCCTTCGCAAGTCTCCCTGTGTTGTCCTATGCACCGTATTCACTTCTTCAGCAAACCTCGGTCAGGGCATCTCTGCTGAGCAGGTATCCCATAACATGTCCGCTCCTCTTCTACATAAATCTGGTGTCCGCGCACAGCTCTTCCCCCCACCCCTTCTTTTAGTTCATAACACACAGTGCAGAATCGCTTCGAGATGCCGTCCGGAGTGAAGGCCGCTATATATAAATGCAAGTTGGTGTGGCAGAAAGTAATCAGATTTTCATACAACCTTTTCATATAACAATTATATTGTATATAACGTAATTCTCTCACTCTCTACAGCACTGAAGGAGACCATTCGGCCCATCATGCATGTGCCAGCTCTTTGAAAGAGCTGCCAACTAGTCCTCCTCCTCCTCTCTTACCCCAAGGCCTTGTAAATTTTCCTTTTCTGGTACATATCCAATTATATACGCTTGATATGGCGAGATGTTCTGAGCAACAGAGGTCAAATGTTGCCTGAACTCAGGTATCTGTAAACCAGTCAGCTGCTCACTGCACTCTGTCCAATTTCCGTTGTGATGACAATTCTATCAGCTTTCAATCCAGATTGGTGTCGGAGATTCTGTGCCAACTCTGGCTGTTATACCACGGTGCAACAGAAGTCCTCCGCGGCTCAGCCATCCGGTGGTGGTTGGGGCTGGGATGGTGGGGGCAGGGGTGGTGGGATGGGGCTAAGGGTATCTCTCGTCAGGAACAATTTATTGCTCATTTGATATAGTGTCGAAAGCACAGTTTCAAAGCAAATGTCATGGCCAGTCTTTCTCCATGACGACCTGGCCTGAACGTTAGGGGTTCTTCCAAACCCTATGTTCAACCCTCAGTGCCTTGAGACGTCCTCCCGACGTGAAAGGGCGCTGTACAAATGTAATTTTGGATTGTATTATATGTTCAAACAGAGCCATGGGATTTTCTCTCCAGAACCGTCAAGATGAGAGCCTGGTTTTAATGTCTGGATGCCACCTCTAGCAGTGAAATAATAACAACAGTAACCCTTGCATTCGATACAGCGCCTTATCACGTCTTCGAGACGTCCCAAAGCGCTTCGCAGAATATGCCGTGAAGTGAATTGACTGTGTATTTTGTGGAGGCCAACTGCACACAGCAGCGTCCCACAAACAGTCGTGGATTGAAATGCCACCAGTTCCAACTGAGATGGGTTAGGTGCCCCTTGCCGTGATTTGTAGGCTCCAAGCATAAAGGTATCACACTAAAGCTCCGTAAGGCACAGGCTCTCACAGTGACCCCTGCTACCCTCAACCCTAAGCCTCCGGTTTGCTGAAGGACTCCCAGTGTACGGTGCACAGAAATCCTTTTTAAGAAGCGCTGCAAAGAATAAAGCCAACGCTTTTTAATTCATTCATTTGAAATGACCTGCGGGGAAAGTACTTGCCATTCAGTTTAGGTACGCATGCAATTACCCTCTCCTTTACTGCAGGCGTTAAGACAATGCAGGGTGTAATTAAGCTACTTCTGCATGTGGTTGTGTGTTCCCCGATATTTAGCTCCAACTTGATGGCTCTCAGAGAAGTCTTCCAGTGTTATTGCAAGCTGCGTTGAAAAGGTCAGTCTTACACCACGACACAAGAGTCATGCCAACAGCAAGCGAGCAATTCCTAAACACATGCAGATGATCGATGCACTACCTCATCGGGTTTAAAAGAAACCACTTATTGTATACCACTTTGCGCTTTTAAGTCAAGGGCACAATTTGGAAAGAAAAAGAAAGTGTTTGAATTACATTTTTTTGTGTGGCAGGAACAATAGCTCGCGTGTGCAGAAGAGCTCGTCGAGCATTCATTCGAGTCCTCTCGCGAGTCGCAGAAGTCGAGTCTGATCCCCAGTGTTAGAGGAACGAGCGCCACAAACACTGATTAGACAAGCTAAGGCTCTTCAGTCTCGAGAGGGTATATCTCGGAGGGCATCTCGTGGAGAAGTGCATAACATTTTAAATGGGATTGAAAAGGTGAACCCAGCACACTAATTGAGGTATGTGTCAAGTTGGTAGAGCAAGAGGACGTTGGTTTAGAATTGTAAAGGGCAATTTCAGGATAGTTCGCCAGGAAGTTTCTATCTGTCTGCAGAGGGTAATTAATCTGGGTGGGATTCATTTGACAAACAGCTCGATGCTTGCTGTGATGGGAGGATAGAGGGAGGGGATGGGTGGTCTGGAAGGATGAGGTCAGATGGGCCGAAGGGCCTTCTTTACCCGACTTAATTTTGCCGTCTTGCGAAGGCAGCGTCTCATTCCCTGGGGGGGGGGGGGGGTGTACAAGGCTGTGCCTCAAACCTCAGGGTTTTGTTCGTGAAGAAACTTGCCCCGAAAGTCGAGACTCGGGGGTTTAATGCGCTACTGACAAAGCACAAATGACTCTAATTAAACATCTTCCCTTTAGCGAGTGGCGAATATCTTTCAACACCAGAGAAAAAATGACAGGGATTGGGAGGGAGGGAAGAGGAATAAAGAATGTTAAGTGCTCTCTGCCCACACAGAGAGGGAAAATCTCAAATTGGACTTGAGATTGTAAATTCAGTGGTATACAATAAGTGTCGGGTTCTATTCTAGAAATCACACCGTATGTTTTTTATATTTTGGCAAGGCAGAGAGAGTAAAGGAAAAAAGAAAAGGTCATTCCAATTCTAAGTGGGCACCACGCAAGGAACAAACATTCACCCATTAGCATTGTCTTACTTTCCATTTAAACGAGGCAAACCGGGCTTCTAAACTAGGAGGAGAAGGGCAAATGGAAAGGAATGTTTGGAAGTTGTACCTACCGTAGACAAACAAGACGTAATCGTCGGATGATTCCCCGATGTCGTTAGATGCCTGACACCGGTACGTCCCATTGTCAGTCTTATTTAGGGACTCAAGGACTAAGTTCCCAACGGACAAGGCAACGCGATCGGGCATCTCATCGTCCACTCGTTGCCAGTAGACTTCGGGTCTGAGGAAGAACATTGACACAAGTGATTGCACTGCTACACTAACAGAAACTTGCATTGATTATAGCACCCTTTGGGGTGGGTGGGGGGGTGGGGGTTGGTCCCAGAGCGCTTGATAGGGGCCGGTTAAACAGAGGCATGTGTGTGGCGTGAGGGAACTTGCCTACGTTTGCATCGCCTTAAATTTTGAGATGGAATGGGCTCATGGGGCGAGGGCTAGGAATTCCCGGCCTCTGGTTTCTGCTCTTTTCTGACCACCACCACCCACCGCGCCACCCCCCACTCCCTCGCGCCCCCTCCCCCCCCAACTCGCTGCAAGGATTCTCCCTAAAAGTCCACCGGAAGCAAGAAGAGCTTTGTAACACAAAAAAAAAGAATGCTTTTCACGGCGCTACTTTGTAATGAACCGGCACTTTGCTCACTCGGTAGGTTTTAACATTCATTTGAAGAGAGACTCGAGAAAAACATGATCAATGGCCACGGGGGGGAAAAGAGGCGTGTGATATTTAATAATAATAATAACCACTGTGTTTGTCCCCAGTGACTTCTGTCATCGAGCCATCTCAAAGTAAATAGCAGAAATGTATTGAAAAAGTTGGATTGACTGTGTATTTTAAGTCGTACATCTGCCCAAGTCCCATACAAGAGTTTGTATTCTGTTCAAGTTTGACGTAACTCATACTTTGCACAAGTCATATTTAAATTTATGGTCCTGACTGATAACGACCTATGTGAGGTTTACTGTATTTGGGGGCAGGTGAATGAATGCCGGAGTCAAAAGGCACTGACGTGGCAATCTTCGATGGAGACGATATTCCTCGCCAATTTAAACTCTGAATGCATTAACTTCAGTTAACAGGAGAGTTGTTCTGTGAATAATAATAATGATCCTTGCATCGGATCCAGCGCCTTCGCACATCGTCGAGACGTCTCAAAAGCGCTTCACGGAATATACTGTAAAGTGAACTGACTGCGCGTATTATCTTGTGGGCGAAACGTGACCGAAACGAGCACCAAACAACTGAAATGAAACGAAAGCTTTCGGCACAGAGCGTCCACACTTACTGCGGTTTCCCGATCGCTGTGCAGCTCAATTCCAGAGTATCTCCTTCTCTTGTCAGGCCTTGGGGTTGGCTGACGGATATCTCCACCACTGGCTTGTCTGGAGAGAGAGAGAGAGAGAGAGAGAAAACAGCAAGGTTATCAGAAACACGTTTTCCAGGAGGGCGAATGGGGGTAGAGGGGAGTTGGAGAGTGGGAGAACTTCTATTGTATCACGGACCTTCCGAGTAATCAAAGTTCTTCAACTGAAATCTATCTCTCCGATTTGGCCGACCTTTTCAAATCCATTTCACGGCAAGTGTATCGTAAGAGGCACCCGAGCCAACTCCGTCTCAGTGATGCTCAGCAAGAGATCCACAGTCTCTCGTGTGACAGATAACAACAAGAGATTTATAACCAGAAGCATCCTGTACGCCTCCTTTCGTGTCGGGAGGATGTGCCGAGGCGCTGGGCAATGAGGGGCTTTGCGCCCGAGCTGCGGGTTGGGGTCAGATAGTGGTGGAGGGCGAGGGGAGTGCCTCCTCCCTGATTCCCCCTCCCGCCCCTTCTCCTCTTCCTAACCAGCAGCCAGTTCAGTTCATCTCCGAAGAGACGAGTTGGGGGTGAGTGTTCATCCTCGTAGATAGGCTGAGAGCCCAGCAGGTGGAGCAGTGGCGACAGGGGAGAGACGAGACGAGACGAGACGAGGGTTGACAGCCTTCTGCTGTCACTCAAGGCAGCCCCAGCCCTCCCCAGCCCAGGAGAGCAGTGTTCCACCTCACTAATGCAATCACCCAGTGCCAAACTCAATTCGCAAGGCGTAATCAGGTTTCACTGCCAAGCCTCTGTTCGGGGCTTGAAGCGTCGAAGGAGAGAGAGAGATTCAAGTAAACAACACCCAGCCATTGCAGCGCCCCAATTCGACAGGGAATTGAAAGGTCCAGGGTCAGAACGCAAGGCCACGCGTAACGCAAGAGACCCTCTGGTCACGAACGGGCTGGTTAACTGGGGATAGACGGGTCAGGGATATCTGTATGCAAATGTAGTCGTCTTCTTGTTGTTGTATGGAAATAAATGACTTAATAATCCTTGCATTTGGTACAAGAGCCTCATTATTTCATTCGAGAAGTCTCAAAGCCTGTCAAGTGCAGTGACTGTGCGTTCTGCGGGCAAAACGCGGCAGCCAGCTGCACACAGCGGCGTCCCCGCAAACAGCCGTGGAACGACGTGACCAATTTCCCTCCCGCGTAAGGGAGAAGGGAATAGAGAACCGGGAGCGATAAAGCCCGCGCGATAAAGACTCTTTATGTGCGGGCTGAGAAGGCTGCTCCTGTGTCATATTATTCCATGTAATTCGCAGTAAAGCCGCAAATATTTGCACTGCGAGTTCCACACACAGCGAGTGGGAAAGAGTCCCTGCAATAAGCCCCGTCGCAGACCAGGCAGCTGAGGTTATAAACCCAGCCAACCATCACCAGAGGCCCTCGAGGAGTCAGTGAGGAGGGGCGAGCGAGTCAGTTACAGCACAGAACGGCACAGAGGGGGAGCGACAGGCACAGCTCGCTTTTCCCCCGACGCACAGAATTTGCGAGAATGTCAAGAGCGCAAGAGTGCGCGCGTGGTAAATGGCAAACGGGCATTTTAATCTGCCGCACGGCGGGGGCAGAGAGCTCCGGCGTTGGCACAGCAATGGGGGGTCGACGGCTGTGACAAGTCAGGGGATTGATCGCTGCAACTTGTTTGTTTTTTTCGCGTGTGCTGGCGATTCACGAGAAGTGGGCCGGTGCGATACTCCTGGTTGGAAATTGCTAGAGCTTTAAAATATGTATATATATATATATTATATATATAATATATTGCGTTTGACTGGTGTCCCTCTGCACGCACCAAAGGCAGAACCAGCTGGCGGTGCTTTTTGTACATAAGCTCCGTACGTAAGCGAATAATAATAATCCATGCGTTCGGATTATTATTGGTTATTAGTGGGGCTTCTCAGACACAAAGGGGAGGAGGGGTGTGCGAGGGCAGAGGGGTGGGTAGGTGGAGAGGGGGTGGGGTGGGGGTGGGAGAGGAAGAGAGAAAGGCAAGAGAGAGAACCCGCGAAGCAATAGGAACAATTAAGGTCACGGCGCTCTCCGAGCCACAGTCAATCTGATCGGTGGCGGTGGCAGCTGCGGGGTGGGGGGGGTGGTGGGGGGGTGGAGGGGAGAATCCCTCTGTAATCCAATCAAATTGGCGTCTCACTGCCAGGATGCCTCTATCAATCAATATTTCCTCCGTGTCTGGGGTGGTGGGGGGGGGGGGGGGGGGGGGGGGCCGGGCGGTGGGCGCACAGAGCACTTAAATCCAATAGATCTGAACTTAATAGATTTCTATGGAAAAGCAAGCTTTACCGCCCAGCGTTTATTATTATGGCTATTTATTTATTGTCTACTTAAAAGTAGAACTTAATCCTTTGGGCTGTGCGTGGGTGTGCGTTGGCCATTTTGCGATAAGCCTGCTTACTGTCACTGAGCAACAGATTCACTGCAGTAACTATAGAAACATTCTCGATTTTCCCCTGACCCCAAAAAACATGTTAAAGTGTGCCCCGGACACCCAAATTCTTCTCGCGAGGGGAAGGAAAGCTGACAAAGTACATCGCCGTTTCTCTCTTTTATTTCGTGTGTGTGCGTGTGTTGTTGTCATGTTTTTTTTTTTTTTTGCAACGCTATCACAAAACACGCACGTCGTAAGGCTTAAAAGGCTCGCTGTGTGGACTGGAGGCTGAGAGCAAACATTCGGTGCAGTCCGAGTGAGATGCTCAGCGAGTTAATGAGGCCCGAGAACAACGCGAGGTCTGTGCTTTCCATTCTCAGCAGAAATGCTTACACAAAGCTTTGCTAATGAGCTTGCAAACGAGGACACGACTGGGAAATGCGACAACTAAAATACACACAAAAAAAAAGCTAATGCACCATAAAATCAACTGAACGACAAGAGCGAGCTGCTCAGGGAAGTGTAGGGGGGGGTGTGGGGCAGTGGGTGGGGGTGGGCTTTAATCCACACGGAACGCAATGAGAATTCCGGCCGAAAGACCCCCATTTGCTAGGCTTCGCTCCACCCTCCTCCCACCCACCCACCCACCCACCCACCCCAACCCCCATCCCCTCAAAGCATTGACAACAACAGAAACAGCAGCAGCAGCAACTGACATTTACACGACGGTGCCTTTCACATCAGGAGGACGTCCCAAGGAGCTGGACAGTCTGGGATTTGGACCCGAGCTGGGGGGTTGAAAACAGGAGGGGGCGGAGGGTAGGGGCGGTAGGGGAACGAGGGGGGAAAAAACAGACTCCACTATATTGCCCCCAAAGATAGCCTCGAAGGAGTAGCCCCTTCTAGTGTGTCTCTGACATGTACTTTTCAACGTTACTCATTGCCATTCAGCACAGCTGAGGTTGATGTGTATATATATATGTGTATATATATGTATATACATATAAATACATGACCACAAATACCCCTCCATCCTGAGCCAGTTGTACAACCCTGACTTTGAACCACTCGAAAGCCGCTGGTCGGTGGCTGAGCCTCTTCTGGCTTCCCACTCGTCCCGTCAGTGACTCACTCAAGAGCTGACCTGTCATCCGGTCTTCCTTGAAGCGAGACAGGCGGCTTGACTTGCCCGTTGCCTCGCTCGCTCGCTCGCTCGCTCGAGGTCCTCTCCGTTCACGTCCACCATCTGGTTCGCGTCTTTATTGCAAGGGAATCAGGCGTACAGATAGGCCCACCTTTCAACGGCCTCCAGTCATCATGGACACGAGGTCAGGCAGTCGGGCAGGAGGTTCCGACCCGCGTGTGAATCATTGACCAAAGTTCAGCACCTGGTCTGGTGAAGCTGTCAGGTTGGTGTTGGTGTCGGTGGGGGGTGGATGGGGGGGATGGTGGGGGAAGAGGGGGCAGACTGCTTTGCACGTTGTTAAGTGGAAGTCACCTGATGGCAATTATAATCCCGATTAACTCGAGGTTAACCTCTTCGGATGGAAGGCAAACAAACTGGCGTCTCAGTCGTCCTCCCCGCCTTCACTTTGCTTTTTAACCCTCTCGCCAGAAGTTCCGAGTTCCCGCCGCCGCTCGATTGTACCATCTGTTGCAAGCGACAACAAGTCTTGCATTCGAACCCCAGGCCTTTGGCTCCAGGAGGATGTCTCAAAGCGCTTTCTTACTGCCGTTGCGAAGTGCGATTCTTCCTGTTAGCCGTGATCTTCGCCCAGCGGTGGCAGTTTAAGCTCCCTTCTAATCAAACCGAGGGTCGAAACGAACTGAGTGCAGCCCAGTGTTGCTGTTGTTGTAAGGGATGTTCTCTCCTTTGATCCCCTTTCAGGGAAATCCCGTTTACCCATCGTCGCTCCCAACTCCCATCCAACGCACAGCTCTCTGTGCTCCCGTGAGCTATTGTCAAGTGGAATAATCCATGCTTGGTTTACAACCATAATAATGATAATAATGCAGTGGTGATAATAATAATCCTTGCATTTGTTTTAGCCGCCGCCTCGTCACGTCGGAAGGATGTCTCGAAGTTACCGGCATGACTGCGGAATGGAGCCACTTGTGTAGTTTGTGGGCAAACACATTCCAAACGCCGGGAAAATTCGCTGCGCGTTATCACGGCTTCACCGTTAAGAGGAGTTTGGAGACTTCGCGAAGTAGCGTAGGGCTGGGAGGAATGCGGGGGCGCGGCTGGGGGTGGGTGAGAGGGGGGAAAACAGAGAGAGAGAGAGAGAGAGAGATGGGGAAAAAGATAGAGAGAGACAGAGAGAGAGACAGAGAGAGAGATGAAAAAATCTGCTTATGTTTTTAAGGCGAGTTCAGTTCACGGCATCTCTACTCACATAGCACATCCATGTATTTCTGTGCCTGCAACTCCTTCATCGCCTGCAGGTCTTTCACTGCTGGATGCTCCACCTGACAGGTAACAGGTAATCCATCATCGAACCGGGTGACCTGCACCACCAGAGTACTGGTGACATTGAACACTTTCTCCTCTTTGGGATCCCTCTCTGAGCTCACTGTGGTCTCTGGGGTCGGGGTGGGGGGGGGGGGGTGGACAGAAGCGGAGATTCAGAAACAAAACCACCACAATTTGACAATGATAATTAATAATAAATCCTTGCATTTCGATGCAAGGATTATTGAACACTCGTTTGATATCCTAACCAGCCTGCAATAATAATTCTTGCAATTGATACAGCGCCTTATCGCGGCTTCGAGACGTCTCAAAGCGCTTCACACGATATACCACAGAGTGAATGAACTGTGCAATTTGTGGGCGAAATGCGGCAGCCAACGTGTGATTGAGTGACCAAATTATTCTTATTATTTTCTTTTTGAAGGGATTAATTAGCCCCGGAAAGCGATCCGCGAGAGGAGGATCAGAGCATCAGCACGTGGTTCCCTAAATTGCGTGGTGGAAAAACAATGTGGGAGAGAGAGAGAAAAGTCTCTCTCTCTCTCTGTAGATATATATCCATATATAATAATTTTGAATTAAAAGCCTCGCTAAAGTAAGAACCCAGGTGTTTTTCTGCAGATTATTGGAGTGCACAATTAGAGAATTGAAAAGGTAGTTACAAAAATAATAGATCATACACACGTACACACACACACACACACATATATAATCTATGTATAGATTCATAATCTAAACCAAAATATGGACAGAAACAGAGCAGCGCGGAAACTAGAACATTTCTGCCGTGTCAATTTCACTGCAGATTTCATCAGGAGAGAATGAAAAATGGGATTAACCGTTGCTAATGGGGATTTGGTCCTTAATGAGTGTTCTCGCAACGACAGTGACAAAGGACTCTCCAGGTAAGAAAGGTGACTTTACCAGCGGGGCGGCAACAGCTCGGACGTGCCCAGCACTGCGTCAAGTACAGGGAGGAGGGGAAGAGAACTCAATTGAGTATTTCCGTTCGAAATGGGAGGGTGGGGGGGGACAGAGACAGAAAAATACGTCTGACACCACCAAAGGTCTGGAGCCCAACACTCCCCCACCCCAACCCCCCCGCCGCCCCACCCCCGAGGCGCCTTTCGTATGACAGAACGGGATCCAAACCTTTCAGCTTCTCATCTCCTTTCAGCCACTTGATCTTCGCGGCCGGCTTGCTGCCCGTCGTGCTGCACGTGAACTCGATCTGCTCGCCCTCGATCACCGTGGTCTTGTCGGCGTCGATGGTGGGCGTTTCCGGCGGGACTGTCTCATCGGAGAGCGACAACTCATAGCAATCAGTGCGCGGGTAAAGTCATTCCCCCCCCATTTCCCTCAGCCCCCCCCCACTTTCCCCCTCCCCCCGCCACCAAAAAAAACACAGCAGAGAAAATGACGCCTGAGATATCGTGTCAGACACGTGCGATGATGAACTTTCCAGGATGTCCTCTAAAAGCAAACTGTCTGCACATTTTGTGGGTGAAACACAGCAGCCAATTTGCGCACAGCCATTGAGTGACCAAATTATCATTATTATTTGATTGATTGATTGATTTTGAAGGGATTTTTACCCCCAGAAAGCGATTTCCCCGATCGACTGACACCCGGATTCCTGCTTACCGCTCGACGCGCGGAGTATGAAAGCTTGCCCAAGGAATCGCGCTCTCCCCACACCCCCCCCCACTCTCTCCCCCCCCTGCCCGGGAAGCGAACCCGGCTCCTCTCGCTTGGGAGGCGAGTGCGCTAACTAATACCCTGCGGGACTCCGGGATGCAGACCAGACTCCTGGGCCAGAAGCTGTGAAACCTCTCAAAGCGCTTCACGGGATACGCTGTAAAATGAGCCGAGGTTCGACGTCAGATTGGCACCGCTCACCGAGGACGGTGATTTCAGCGAAGGCCTCTTGTGGGGGGTCGGTGTACAGCTGGCACATGTACACCCCCTCGTCCTCCAGCGAGACGTTGGAGAGCGAGACCCGAAGCTCGTTGCTGGAGAAGTTGACCAGCTGGAAACGGTTGTCCTTCAACGCTGCAAGAGAGGAGGAACGATTGGCCAAAAGAGCCCAATGTTAGGTCGGGGGTTGGGGAGGGAGGAAGCGGGGGATTGAAGGGGGCGTTGGAAGGGGTGGGGGTACAGGAAGGATCAAATGAGGCTTTGCGAGCCACCGCTTTCCAATTCTCCTCCGTTAATCCCTGCAACTCCCTCCTCGTCTCGCCCAGGGTATTGAGACGGATCTGGATGGAGGCGAGAGAGGGGGGTGGTGGGGGGGTGTGGCGGAGGGGCTACAGGATGGAGTTCCAGACGGTGGGGGCAGAAAGGGCTGAAGGCCTGCCCGCCAATGGCGTGGCGGGCGAGGTAAAGATGGCCGGAGCCCGCTGAGCGGAGGGAGCGGACAGGTTGGGTTAGGAGATCAAGAGACACCCGGTCGACCCCACCCACCAAAAAACGCGGACGCTTGAGTACTTACGCCTGACGTCCCTGAAGTAAATTGTCTGTCGACTTGGATTCAGCAGCTGAATGACTGAGTCGTCATTTGTTTTCACTCTGCAACTGATGGTTGCTACCTCTCCTTCCACCACCACCACATTGTCAGTCACCAGATTCTGGACGTCGGCTTAAACGCAAACACACGCACAACAGAGAACCGTTAACGTGATATTAAGCCCACGCTTCAACCTGTCCCCCCCCCCCCACCCCAAACCCAAACCCTCACTGCCAACAGTGCACTTAATAAGTAATAATCATTTGATAATAATTTGTATTTGACGCAGCGTTTTCACCTCCACATAGACCGGCTCCGTGACCTCCGACTGTGGTCGGGCTTTCAGGCTCTCAAGACCCTCGTCTCTGACCTCGCCTTCGGTCACCCTCCTGACCCCCTACCTTCCTCGCCCTCCGCCCCTCCTGATTTCCCAACCCCCAGCTCGGGTCCAAACCCCTGACTGTCGGGCGCCTTTGGGAACGTCCTCCTGACGCGTAAATATAATGCGCTGTTGTCTTAACCCGTGGTCGAGATGCCTCAAAGAGCTTCTGAAGATTTTGCTGCGAAGTGTCGTTTAGTGACTGTGTTTTTCTCGGCAAACCCGGCAGCCAATTTGCGCAGCAGTGTTCCACAAACAGCCATGAAGTCGGTGCGCGCGTGTGTGTGTGTGTGCGCGCGTGTAGGAGAGCAAAATACAACGAGACAGTTCCTCTCAGAAACAGGCGAAGGGTTCACCACCACTGGGACTCATTACTTTGTGGGTTCATTAAATAATCTGAAGCAATCATCCACATCTACGGGACTCTGGGCTCCTCCGAAATGAGCCGCGCTGGCAGACAGACAGGCGCTAAAGCCAGGTTTAGCGCCTGAGTATTGGCAAATGCTTCCCACAAATGGGTGGTTTTGCATTACTTAGAAAACCTGATGTAATCACACGGGAAATAGCTGGGACCACACGCGTGTGCACGCCTACACACACCCGAGATACAGGCAGACACACACACGCGCGCGTGCGCGCGCTCACAGCAAGACACAGACAGACACACATACACACACAGACAGACACACAGAGAGAGAGAGAGAGAGAGACACACACACAGACACACACAGCGAGTTAGACAGACACACACAGATGGATAGACACACACACACACAGCAGCACAGAAACAGAGAGTGACACAGAGACAGAGAGAGAGAGAGAGAGACGGAGAGTGACATAGAGAGAGACGCAGAGACAGAAAGAGACACAGAGACAGAGAGAGAGAGAGAGAGACGCAGAGAAAGAGACACAAAACGCAGGCGTTTCAAGAGCAGCCATTTCTTCACAGGAGCCTCATTAATCACGAGCTCAAAATAATTTGGATAATTTGAATTTTTTTTTTTTTTTTTTTCTTTTCGACATCCGAGGGGGTGGGGGGGGAACCAATGACGTAGAAAAAGCCGCCGAACAGATATCAAAACTGGCTCGGAGTTCACAGCGTTCCCTCCGCCCTCATTTCATCTCTTGTATTTTCAACGTCTCACTTTAACAGACTTCTGACAAACCCGAGCACCCAAGTGCTGGACGGAGCGGAGGTGTGTAAAAGGTTCTTTATTTCTGACGGCTGCATCTGGGGGTCCTGTAGCGTATTAGTCAGAGCACTTCGCCTCGCCAGCGAGTAGAACCTGGGTTCGATTCCCGGGGCAGGTTGGGCAAGTTTCCTTCCTCCACGCGCTCCTGTTTACCCAACGTTAAGTAGGAACCAGGTCGTTAGTCGATTGACAGATCGCCTCAAAAAAAAAATGAAACGAATAATAATCCGGTCACTGGCCCCACGGCTGTTTGTGGGGACGCTGCTGTGCACAATTGGCTGCCGTGTTTCGCCCACAAAATATGCAGTCAATTCGCTTTGCAGTATATCCTGTGAAGCGCTTTGAAACGTCTCGAAGATGCGATAAGGCGTGGTATCAAATTCAAGGATTATTATCATTATTATTATTATTATTATTATTATTGTTATTATTATCATCTGCAACAAGGGAAAAAGCCACAATTTGAAACACATTTTTCTTCTTTAGCTTTGCTTTCCTTACCCCCCCACCCCCACCCGCACAGGCAAATTGCTCTCTCTCTCTCTCTCTCTATATATATACTAACTATATACAGTTAGTGTGTTAGTGTCACAGAGGGATATGAGGCTATCATACAAGCTGTGTCAGCCCGACCCACTGGGAATCACTCACACCTCGGAGTCAATGGGTTGTAGGTTGTGGGTCAGAACTTGGGAGCTCATTGTCTAAGCCAAAGTGGTCCAACTTGGCCGATTCCATCACCCCCCCATCCCCCCCCACCCCCACTCCAGCCAATTGCGCACAGCAGCGTCCCACAAACAGTCGTCGGTCGATTGATCTAAATCATCACCTATCGCAATTTTTTTGAAGGGATTACGTGTTTAAAAAAATAAAACAGAAGCACTTTAAGAGACTTTTTTGGAGGGTAGGTGGTGTGGGGGGGGGGTTATATTGTTCGGGGAGTGGAGGTAAGCACCGTCGAAGAGGTAGGTTCGGAAACCGAACCGTTGCCACTCAGATCACCATCTCAGGTGTGTGTCAATCGCAGCCCAATCTCAGTGGGGGTTAGAAGCCAAGTTTGCATTCCTCTCTCCTCTGCAGAAACCCGGTTACGTTACGACTTGTCTGTGTGGTTTTCGCTGGTTCGGCTCCAGCAAACACTCTGGAATCCCCCCGAGCCTCGGCTCTCGCCAACCTGCGCCTAATACTTTCCGGAATTAGATAAACAGGGTGCGTCACTCCGGGGAGAGGGGGAGAGAGAGAGAGAGAGAGAGAGGGAGAGGGAGAGGGAGAGGGAGAGGGAGGGGGAGAGGGAGAGGGAGAGGGAGAGGGAGAGGGAGAGGGAGAGGGAGAGGGAGAGGGAGGGGGAGAGGGAGAGGGAGAGCATTCCCACTCCAACACTCTGGAATATCCATGTGCCGGTGGGATGTGTGGGTTCTCAGCTTGGTTTGGACGCTCCAAGCTCAGAAGCACGGTGATGGGCTTCCGCATGTGTTAGACTCCCGGCTGACAACCCCCCACCCCACCCCCCCCACCCAAATGACTCGTTTGCCTCTGCCACTGAGTCTGGCCTAGGCTTGCGAGAGCCTGGTTTCTCATACTAACCTGTACTACACTCGGTGCCCTGGCTCCTCGGGCTCCCTATCGCCGAGCCGATCGATTTCAAGTTGCTCGCGCCAGTTTTTAAGCCCCTTCGCGCTCTGGCACCTCCCCACCTCCCCAACCTGCTGACCACCCCCCCCCCTCCGCCCCCGCCACCCCTCCAACCCACTGTCCCCCAGATATAACTGTCTGTTTGCAGGAGGTTGCTTTGGGCAAATTTGCTGCCGCGTTGGCTACAACACACACACACACACACGCACACACAGTCACTGCACTTGACAGTGCATCCCGTGAAGCGCTTCGAGACATCTTCCCTGCGTCAAAGGCGCCGTATAGAACGTAGGGATTATTACGGGTTTATTACTATAACGGTAGCAAACAGATTAAACGCAACACACAGAGCCTGTGTGTACGCTCAGGGCTGGGGGGGGGGGGGGGGGGGGCGGGGGTGGTGAGCAGCGATGTGTGGATGCCACTAGAGGACGCTTCTCAAGGGCTTAAAATTTCAAGCCGGTCCCACACAACGTTCCTCAAAGTCCGATTGTAAATTTTCACCGCTTCCTAGCAACGGAGAAAATCCCTCACTGCGTGTATATTTTGTGGGCGAAACGCGGCACAGCCGGTTGCGCGCAGCAGTGTGTACATGTACAGCGACTGTGGGTTTTGTATGCGAACCCACAGCGATGCCCCACTGAGAAGTCTCTCTCCGCCTCAAATACAAAGCGACGTTACTGCTCACATCCAAAGCTCCTTCTAAAGACCGGGTCTAAGCCTCAGGGGAGTGAGCTCTCTCTCTTTCTCTCTCTCTCTCTCTCTCTCTCTTTCTCTCCCCCTGCCACCCCACCCCTCCAAAAAAAGAACAGATCTGCTCCAGGGCTGTATTCTCTGCTGATAGAAAGCCAATGAGATGACTTGTTTCAGCTCGCTGTCTTTCTGCTTTTAAAGACGAAACATTCATGGGATTCCTGTCGACTGAACTGAAAGAAAAATCGATAGCGCGCTCTCTTCATCTCTCGCTAAACTCTCCACGGAGCCAAAGGAACTCCCCCCCCCCCCCCCCACCACCCCCCACCCCCACCAGGACTTTAAACCCTTAAACCCTCCCGGCTGAACAAAAACGTCCGGCATCGCTTTGTCGCTAACCACAAGAATAAAGCACAGACACGGGGCTGTGAGCTGGTGTCCAGGCTTCCTCTCCATCGCATTGCTGGGGGGGTGGGGGGGTGGTGGGGGAGTGCTCGATTGTTTAGTTGTGTTCTCTTTCTCTCCCTTGGTGTCCTGGCCAACAATCCTCCCCCACCCCCCCCCCCACCCCCGCCCCACCACCCCCATCAGTAAAACCGATTGCTCGCTCGGTGGCCGCTTTCGCCTACAAATACACCAGTCACTACACCGCACTGTAAAATCAAGTGCTTTGAGATGCCTCGATGATCTCTCTCTTACACGCAGACACACACACATGCATGCACACACACACACACACACACGCATATACATACACGCACAGACACACACACATGCATGCACACACACACATACAAACGAACATACACACAGATTGAGCTTTCCGTGTGAAATGAAGATTAAAGTCCGAAGCATTTTGTGTTTCTCTACCTTCCATCTGCTGTGCTGCCCCTGCGGGAACGAGGCGATCGGGGGAGAAAGAGGAGGGAAGAAGGCGAAGAAAAGAAAAGGAGTTTAGAAGTTAGCACCACTTTCACACACCCAAGAGAACCAGGAGAAGGCCCACAAGGCTTGAAATTACCAACAAGCTGAGCAATACAACAACAACAACGGACATTTACACGGCGCCTTTCACGTCGGGAGGACGTCCCAAGGCTCTGGACAGTCAGCGATTTGCACCCGAGCTGTGGGGTTGGGGTGGGGGGGTGGGGTGGGGTGGGGTCGGGATCAGGAGGGGTGGAGGGCTGGTAGAGGAGGGTGACAGTCGAAGAGGAGGGTCTTGAGATGGATTTGAA